AGCCCATACCACTCCCCACACTCTCCCATCAGCCCAAACCACTCCCCACACTCTTCTATCAGCCCAAACCACTCTCCCATCAGCCCATACCACTCTCCCATCAGCCCATACCGCTCCCCATACTCTCCCATCAGCCCATACCGCTCCCCACACTCTCCTATCAGCCCAAACCACTCTCCCATCAGCCCAGACCACTCCCTCCACTCACCCATCTCCCATGACTTACCGCACTTCGGACTAGCCACACCCCTCTCCCATCAGCCCATACCACTCTCCCATCAGCCCATACCGCTCCCCATACTCTCCCATCAGCCCATACCGCTCCCCACACTCTCCTATCAGCCCAAACCACTCTCCCATCAGCCCATACCACTCCCTACACTCTCCCATCAGCCCATACCATACCACTCCCCACACTCTCCCATCAGCCCAAACCACTCTCCCATCAGCCCATACCACTCTCCCATCAGCCGATACCGCTCCCCATACTCTCCCATCAGCCCATACCACTCCCCACACTCTCCAATCAGCCCATACAAACAACCCTGTAAACAAGTATAAGTCAGGCAATCATACTTAGCAGACAGCTTATTTTGAATATTTGATTGTACAATTTGTCATCTGTCTTCCATGCACAATTACTAAATAAAGCAACATAAACAAACCTAATTCAGGTACACAGGCCTGCAGGAGTCCTTGTAGGCATCTCCTCTGATCATCAGATGTTGCAACAGTTAACATTTTGTCTATTCTTGCTTTTACTTCATCCACACTCGGGATGTTGTTCTGAGCTGCAAAAGTAAATACCGGTATATATTTAGAAGGTCTAAAAAGACAAGCCTAGTTTTCCACCACCTTCAATATTCATCTGACTTAAAATATTCTAATCCATTAATTTCCAAAGTTTTTTCTAAGCCCTAATAATGTAATTGTATATTAATATCCCACTTAACTTAGTTAAATTAAATGAATGTTCTTAAAAAATACATTAGTTTATTACTGTATTTGACTGTGAGTGCCAAATAAGCATTAGATATCAGTTGCAAGATAATCTACTTCAAACTCCGTATTCAGACTTAATTTCTCGAATAGATTTGTTTTTTAAATTTTTTCATGTTAAAATTTTCTTTTTTTAGCAGGAGTGAAATATTTGAAAAGGCCAGGTGTTATATAAGCATTGAAATGTGGTAGATCCCTGTACCTTTCTTGGAATTCAGTTGGATGTATTTTTCCATGTAAGTTCTGAATGAGTGTCCCTTCAAGTGTACACTTGGTGCCAGGAAACTGAGATCAGATAAATCTATCATGGATGTCAGCCTCAGCACAGCTCCACATAACTGAAAGCCACAATTTAAAAGTAGGATCAAAAGATCTTGCATAATCTATGACAAATGAACTCCGTAAAAAGTTTTATAATAATGTACACTCGCAATGCTACACAAAATGAATTCCATAAATTCGATGTAACTGACATAGCAATACACAGCAAGAAGATGCATTATGTCTTTTTACTGTAAATGTTCCCATGACTTTGTTCACATCAATTAAATTCCTACACTTAATAGACCAAAAGTAATGTAAATTAAAATGTTTGTAGTGATATTCTCTTAAGACATTTTAAGTTCCTTTTATGCTGCAAAAAATATAAAGAATTGAGTATAAAATAACGCTTTAGTCATATACCCTAAGTAGAAATGTAAAAGAAAAATATCAAATTCCAAAGCTCTGTTTAAAGTTTCATACCCTTCTCAATAGCTAAAAAAAAGGTTACTTCAAGGGGTATATTTTTAAAGTATTACTCCATTTAGGGAAAGTAATATTTATCCGATGAACTTAAAATAAAGATGAACATTGCTTAATAACAAATTACATGCTCTATCAAGCTGTCCTTGTATTTGTACTCAGCAAAATCATTGATATTCTCAGCACTCTCAAGAGCAGTAACCAGGCTGACCCAGGCATTACAAAATGTTTCTTTGGAGCCATAACCCTGTCGATGGTGGGGTGCTGATAAACCCAGGGCTGCATTGATCCGAACCTGATTAAAGAAAATATTTTTACAACTGCTGTTAGAAAATTTTGCTTTCCGGCATTAAAATAAGTTTTAAAATATCTAAAACAATGAAAATCGAACTTACAGAATTCATCTAATACACAGTTACACACTTTTTTACTGGTTCCATCGAAAATAAAAATCCATTTTTCACATGCCACTGGCAGATAGCTAGTTTTGAAATGTAATTAACCTTGCTTTGAAATATCAATTCAAAAAGCAATCAATCAAAAACATTCCATTGGCGTATTAGTAAACAAAAAGAGAATAGTTAAATTTTTTAACAAGCTACGACTAAACAAAAGAGAGTAGAGGCCGACCGAATTTCGGCTTCGGTTTCGGCGCCGAAAGTGGCCATTTTATCACTTTCGGCCAAGTTTCGGTTTCGGCCGAATCTGTAAATTTAACTTTCGGCTTAATTTCGGTTTCGGCCGAAAGAGAAAAGTTAACTTTCGGTTTTTCTTCGGTTTCGGCCGAAATTGACTTAGACTTTCGGCCATCCGGCCGAAATTTACTCAGGTTTTCGGTCATTTAATACTAAGCGAAAGCGATATTTTACAACAAACTAAGCGACATTTAGGAACAAATTAAGCGATCTTTGAGAACAAACTAAATGATATTTAACAACAAACTAAACGACATTTATGAACAAACTAAACGATCTTTAAAACAAACTAGGCGATCTTTAAGAACACTCTAAGCAATCTTTAACAACAAACTAAACGATCTTAAAGAACAAACTAAACGATTTTTAAGACCGAACTAAATGATCTTTAAGAACCAACCAAATGATCTTTAATGATTTATAAGAATAAACTAAGCGATCTTTAACAGAAGACTAAATGTTCTTTAAAAATAAACTAATTAACAACAAACTAATGCGATCTTTAACAAAAAATAAACGATCTTTAACAACAAACTAAACGATCTTTAACAACAAACTAAACTATCTTTAACAACAAACTAAACGATCTTTAACAACAAACTAAACGATCTTTAACAACAAACTAAACTATCTTTAACAACAAACTAAACGATCTTTAACAACAAACTAAACGATCTTTAACAACAAACTAAACGATCTTTAACAACAAACTAAACTATCTTTAACAACAAACTAAACGATCTTTAACAACAAACTAAACGATCTTTAACAACAAACTAAGCTTTCTTTAAGAACAAATCAAGCGATCTTTAAGATTAAACTAAGCGAGATTTTAGAACAATCTAAGCGATCTTTAACAACAAACTAAGTGATCTTTAACAACAAACTAAGCGATCTTTAAGAACAAATTAAGTGATCTTTTAGAACCACATTTTTTAGAGACCCGGTTTAAAAAAAATAATATTTCTGCCAAATTTTCTCCTACCATACAAATTTGGAAAAAAAAATTGTAAATCAATTTAAATTAGTTTTATATTAAAATGGTAAAATCCAAAGTATTCATTAGATCAAGGGTATCAAACTCAAATTATGTGGGGGCGGGGGGGAGGGGGGGAAGCGCAGGAGGTAGTGTCTGAATGAGAGTGGGCCGCATCAAGTAATCCACAAAAAAGCGATTACAACTGTTACAATCTGGTTAACCTTTATAAATAACAAAAAAATCATTAAGGGTTCTCAAGAACTAGGATTCACTTTCATCCACTTACTCAATGTTGCCAGAGAGCTTGCATACACAAATATATAGACATTAAAAAAAAAAAAATCAGAATTAGACTAGTCGGTGAGATTCGACTGAAACCGTAGCGGAGAGTCACGTTATAGATATGAGAATGGGGGAAACGGGCCGGCGCATTGACACTAAACTTTTCTGTCATGTAGCGGGCCGCAAAATATCGTCTTGTGGGTCACAAATGGCTCGCTGGCCGCGAGTTTGAGAACCCTAAATTAGATTTTTATTTATTAATATTTATGATTATCTCATTTTTATAAAAAGAATGTAAATATTTATATTTTCCCACATCATTTTCGATGTAAGCAGAATGTATGCGGGAACGAATTTCAAAATATCTTAATATTTCATTTTCGGTTTCGGTTTCGGTTTCGGCCGAAATTCATTTTTAACTTTCGGTCTTCTTTCGGTTTCGTCCGAAAGTCATTTTTAAACTTTCGGCCTTTTTTCGGTTTTGGCCGAAAGTCATTTTAAACTTTCGGCCTATTTTCGGCTTCGGCCGAAATCAGAAAATCACTTTCGGTCTGTCTCTAAAAGAGAGTTCACTAAACCGCAGAAACTCAGGGGACCTGTAAAGCAAAAGTAGACCAAATGAACTAATGTAAAGATCTTGGATTTGTGATAATTTTACTAACAATCAGAAAACAAAAAACTAGTTTTAACGAACTTGTAAGTCTTAAAAGTGTTGGGTCCATCCCTTCCCTGTGTTCTGTTTAGTTTGAAAAAAATTAGTTTGAAGAAGATTGATCTCACGAGTGTTATAAATCAATCAACAAAATAAATAATAATTTTCCTAGACCACCCAGATGTATTTGTGTACAGAAAAGTTACAAAGTAAATTAATTTACAGGTACTAAATTTAATGGTACAAAATTGATTAATTTATTTGTAGTGCATTGAACTATACAATTTTTTTTTTATAAGTGTAATTTAAAATGGTAAGAAAAGTGAGCAATAAAAAAACTGGTTCAATCCATCCAACAGAGCAGCATTTCTCATCATATTGCTTAATTTTAAACTATACCAAATTAGAAGATTATATATATCAGGATGGATGGCAGGGTTATTTATTTGGTTATCTCTTTAAATTATTTTCCAAATTTAAATACTATTATGGCCAATTCGTTATCTTAAACTCTCTCCCCCCCCCCCTCTGTTTATTGGGTATCACCCTCAAAAAAGAGCTTATTTGCCTGACCTTGAAGTTTAAACTGTTCTGTACCACTTTTAAATTATTTTCCAAATTTAAATATTATTATGGCCAATTCTTTATCTTAAACTCTCTCCCCCCCCCCCCTCTGTTTATTGGGTATCACCCTCAAAAAAGAGCTTATTTGCCTGACCTTGAAGTTTAAACTGTTCTGTACCACTTTGCTCAGCATTGTGAGGATATCAGTGACCCAAGGTTTATCCATTGGCAGGCCAGTATTCTGGAAGGCATTGCTTGCTGCATAGCAACTGTTCCAACGCACCTGGGGTTAGACAAAATTTGACAGATATAACATCAGTAATCATGGACTGTAACAGTAACAAGGATACCTATTACTTTCGAGGGAATACAGAATAAAGTGACAGAGATTTACCATATTTTTTGGATAACTTCTTTAAAATTAGACTGACTTTTACATCTTAAAAATGACAGAGGAGGGCATGTGTCCAGAAATATGCAGCAGTTTCTCAATTTCGTACACTTAGCCTGCCATTGTATGCTGATTTTATGGGGTGGACAGACACACAGTCACTGTAGTGTACATTTTTATACCGCATGGACTTAAAGTAAGTCATTAATGTATATCTTTAAAAATGTCATGTTTTTTAATGAGTACAAGAGATGGAACATGATCACTAAATCATAATACTTAAAACTGTTCTCAGGGATAGCAATTAGCAATGACATTTTCTGAGGTTTCTGAAAAATATTGGGATGAAACTTTATAAGGTGAGAAAGCAGAGGTCCCCACAATTTTATGAACATAAATTCAAAGCATTAAAATATTTAAGGCTCAAGAACCGCTGCATTTGAGATAAAATTGCGATTTTATTGTCTCACTTTCATTGTCCCACTGCTCATGTTCTTCACCAAGCCTTTCACAGCCTTGTCCACCGCAGCCTCCATGTCAGGCTTCTCAAAGGCTTTACAAGGCAGGTACCTCAGAAGGTTGCCCAGAGCCCGGGCAGAGTTACAGCTGATTTTGTCACTGTCTTTCATGGAGGATGCGGCACACTGGACCAACTCCAGCACCATGGACTCGGGGAAATCTGTCAGAAAATCTTCTAGAACATTTTCACTGTCAGGGGAAGAAGACAACTTAATTAGGACAAGAAAAAAAACACTTTCCATTTTAATGATTTGTTTATACAGGATTTTGTGTTAGGTAAGACATGCTGTGGTGTAATTAGGTCATGGGGTCAAATGATTTTATCATTAAAATCCCAAAATTTAACTTAACTGTTTAAATCATTAAATGTGTGAAACAATGAAACCGTTGTCTAGGAGTAACTTTTTGACTGATTCACCCTGGCACAAAAGTAAAATTTTATTTTACATTTGTGTCTCTATATAAATTCACATGGCCATCTTTTAATATCTTAACCGATTAGTAAAAAAATTAACAATTGGATTTCTCTTTTAAAATCAAATCATAATTTTTTGGAGCTTTAGTATTTGAAAGTCAAGTTCAGCAGATAGTCTCACTTTATAAGAGATTTTTTATTTATTAATCAAAATTAATGGAAATTTATTTCTTTTTCATTTATCGTACTTATTTTTTTCAGTCCTGAAAATGATTGTTTGAGTTTTTCATTGTTCCTTAAAATTAGTCTGTAGCAAGACATTCGGAGTGTAATTGTGGTGTAAGAATAACTGTTTAGAGTTCTTGAGTGAGAACAGAGTCTTGGATTTTTGTTTGAATAGAGTTCTTGTTTTTCCTCTCCAAGTTCAGGGACACAATTATTATAATGATGAGACTTGGGTTAATTAATGTCACTAGCTGGTTTAGAGTGTAAAGATGTTTTTACTTGTTGCTGACAAGAGTGTCACACAGGTTGGCCATGGCCCAAGCTGCCTTAAATCTCACACTATTGCTTGATGACCCCATGCATGCTAGGATGGCCTTTCCTGCATCTATGACAAATGCAACATCCTTGGGAAATAAAGATACAAAAGTAATAATAATAATAAAGTTTATTTGAAAATCACGCTTCATACCCAAAGGCTCGAAGCGCGGTACAAGGTCAACCACATTAAAGAAAAATGAACAAAATCTATATTATACCACATTGAAATACAAAAGTAAATAATTCATACATTCAAGTAGGGGTTCTTATTTAATAATGATAACTTATTTAATATTGATGATTTATTTAATATTCATGTTGATCACTTAATATTCATGTTGATAACTTATTTTCACATTTATTAAATTACAGACAATGCAGTATTTACAAAATAATAACTGTTCCTTTAGTCTTAGACGTGGTGGACCTCTTCCACTAAGCTGTATTTGTTTTTTTTAACCCCAAAATAAAATTCCACTCATGTCCTTACTTAGATAGTAAAGTAAATGCAATGATAAATTGATTACATTTCTATTGCCTAATGAAAATTGATCCAATTTTAGACTACCAAAAATAACTTTTCTTCCAAGTTAACATATATGAAGTGACATCTTTCAGGGACTATTTCATCACATGTATTACCAGTGTCCTAATGACAGACATCTTTCAGACATGAGTACCACAAATGCCCAGGGTCATAATGACAGACTTACATCTTTTAGGCATGAGTACATAACATAAATGCCCAGCGCCCTCACTGCAGAGGCTTTGATCAGTTTGTCATCATCGTCAGCCAGTCCCAGCACCAGCGTAACACACTGCATCTGTCGCTGTCTCTGTGAAGAAACATTTTATTTTTTTCCTTAAGTTTGAGTCGCAAGGGTATGTAGTTGCCGACTCATTTGGATGCCAGAGATTTTCAAAGGGACGTAAGCACATTTACAGGATAGAAGCACAATTAAATAATCTAATGCTACAAAAATGTGAATAAACATCTACTTATTAGTAGATTAAGTTTAATAAGAAAATGGCAAAAACTGAAGAAAAAGAAGAGAAGAAAAAAAAGAACAAGTCTTGTTTCACATGAGCATTGTTTCCAAATTTAGGAAATGTTAATAAAAAATTAATTAAAAGACTTGTTAAATTTATTTCAAAAATTTATTTGCAAACACAGTATGCGCCAAAAGTAACAGAGCTGAAACTGCTCCATCTGAAATGCATATATGCATTTGTCAATGGTGCATAGTTCCAGTCCCCACATGTTCTCATTTGTCAAGAAAGTGTACTGGGCAGCTGTTGGAAATGGGTCTCTCTAAGGATAAACTTTTTTCTTCTTCATGTTTTGACCATCATTTTTCCCTTGTACTTAAGTGATTGTAATGGGGGGATGATGTTTGAATAAGGGAGGCAGAACATTCTAAGAGAGATCTCAAAAGACGTCACCAAGTGATGCTCAGTCCGCACAATCAAATTTAAATTTGTTTCAAATTTGTATCAAATTTTTGTATGAACACACTATTTTGTGCGTGGTTTCTTTTTTTTAGACCAAAATAAGAATTTTATCACATAGTAATTTGAAAGTTGTGACAAGGCTTCATTCAAAAATCGCATCAAATGTATGATAGAAAATTTGATAATGTAAACTTAGTAAAAAGGTAGCACAACACAGTTATGCTTTTGCATAACACAGTTATGCTTTTGCATAACACAGTTATGTTTTTGCATAACACAGTTATGCTTTTGCATAACACAGTTATGCTTTTGCATAACACAGTTATGCTTTTGCATAACACAGTTATGCTTTCTTTTTTAGAAATTTCACCATTAAGGAAGTGTATTGTATCCACTATTGGAGGAAGGCTGATCAACAAGTAAGTTTTTTGATAATGAGAATCAGGCCTGTATTCTCCAGAAGGTGCTGTGTTTGCCACTATGAAGTCTATGAGGAACATCCTTCAAACTGAGGATCAGCAATCTGTCAGTTCGCTGACTGTTTAAGGACATAGGTGAATTTTTGTACGGGATACAGGTTAGACAATGGTTGGCAGAGCCAAATATGCAAGCCAGGATGAAGTGTTATGGAAATTTCTGGCTATGGAGGTTCAAGGTTTTTATAGAAATGAAAGATTCTCCAAAAAAAAAAGTCATATTCGTTAACAGGTCGATCAGACTTTCCCTTCTGTTGACAGCGTACCTTTTCTGAACCGTGTTACTTACTGTTAATTACTGTCTCGCCAACACTGTTAATTACTGTCTCGCCAACACTGTTAATTACTGTCTCGCCAACACTGTTAATTACTGTCTCGCCAACACTGTTAATTACTGTCTCGCCAACACTGTTAATTACTGTCTCGCCAACACTGTTAATTACTGTCTCGCCAACACTGTTAATTACTGTCTCCTCGCCAACACTATTAATTACTGTCTTGCCAACACTGTTAATTACTGTCTCGCCAACACTGTTAATTACTGTCTCACCAACACTGTTAATAACTGTCTCCTCGCCAACACTATTAATTACTGTCTTGCCAACACTGTTAATTACTGTCTCGCCAACACTGTTAATTACTGTCTCGCTAACACTATCTTCAGCCAACTGCTTTTCATTTATCCAAACTTAAAACTCTACATCCTGTGGCACGCTAAACCTCTGCTTCATTAACAGAGTCACTGCGTAAGCCCAAACAGCTGCCTTTTTTGCCTCTTTAGTAATGGACATTTCTCAAGACCTGAGCCGCTGGGATTGTGTGTGTGCAGGCGTACGCCAGTGTTCATAGCCTAAAGTCGCATTCGTTAAGCAAGACAAAATTTGTTCATCAACTCATTTGTTTGTTATCTGAGGTTTCACTGTGGTTAGTTATACAACACTGCAGAGTGCAGATTCTTACAGGTAGCTTGGCGAAGACTTCCTCTCCAATGTTGGCCATACATTCACAAGCTCCAGACCTGACTAGATTGTTCCCTTCAACTGACATGTCTGGGTTGTAGTTCAACAGCTGGGGCAGGGGGCCCTCTAACAGGAACAACCAGAAATCTAATATCTGTCAAGGAAAGAGTTTACATTATATACAACAATGTTCTTGGCATGTAAGACAAGGTGGAAATAGGAATATTATATCTAACTGTGAAAATTAAAACGGAAATCCGTTGTTCATTTGGTTTGTCATACATAAAAGCGAAGATAAACCATAAACCTTCCCTAACTAAATCTAATGGCTGAATGCAATGGGGAAAAAAACTCAGTTGATGGACCATTTAATTTTTTTTAAACTTCTTTTCATTTCTTCGGCGTTTTCCAAAAACTAAGTTTTGTGTCAAGATGACACAACTCTTTCAGCTTCAGCAAGCTATTTAATTCCTGCGAGACTGGTGGGGAAGGTTTTCGGAACCATAGTTTGTATCTTTTCATAGTAAAGTTGACCTAAGGACCTGAAACATTTCACCTGGCCATGCACAAATAACTGAGAATGATACCTGAAAAATGTGAACTTCTTGTCTTGGTTTTAAGACAGACCTTTACACCACAGGTCTGCACAAAGAACTTTGCCACTGACCTGTTGGAAGGGTATAACATGGCTGGGTGCCAAGCTTGAGTCATGAATGTCCCTTTGCAAGGCTTGGGTCAGTTCATCCAGCACTTTGGCCCCGTGGAGTTTAATTATGTAATTAGAATCTTCCAGGCACATCTGAACCAGGTTTTTGAGTAGACGAAAACTTGACCTGGTGAAAATCATAAAACATGTCTTTTATAAAAGTCATTTAGTTTCAAGTCTTTTTAGGGTGGAATAACACAGGTGAGGTAACATTTCTTTGTCTGGACAACTGGCGGGCTACAATTAGACTCAAGATTCATGGAGTTAAAGATTCAGCAGGACTGAGGAGTCATTTTTTGTTGAGAAGATCTATTTTTGCAAACAAGCCTGGCCTAAATGCTATGGACCCCCATAAATTGCCTCCAAGGACAAGAACAACATATAATCATAATCTTTCAGCTAGCCATAGACCATATCCAACTGAACAGGTTCTTCAACCACATTAACTAAGACAGAAAACAAACATCCAAGTGAAACAATACCACATCACATACTTCCTGATCAAAACTTCAAGAAAAATGTCCAAGTGACCTAATACAGTTGACAAACTACAGTACCCGGTAACACAACAATACCTCAATGACCTACGACAATTGCCAAGCTACTGTAACGCAATGACAATGCCGCAAATATGTGCCACAATGGCTAATCTACTGTAACACAACAGGACAAGCACCTCAATGACCTTCCACAATTGCCAAACTACGGTAACACAACAAATGCCTCAAAGACCTACTATAATTGCCAAACTACTGTCACAAAACAGAGGATGACCTGCACATTTTTCGCTATGGCTTCAGGTCAAAGGATACATGTCCATATGGCTACTGAATCAGGATGATGATGTGATGACAATGAGAGGAAGATATGATGATGTTGTGATGAGGATATAAGAAGTGTTGAAGATGTGATGAAGTGTTGAAGATGTGATGATGATGTGACGAAGATGAGATGATGATGGGATCCTGATGACGATCCTTGCATTTTAATTTTTTTTGTAGTTTCCAATGTTTGCTTTGGTGAACATCATTACATTTGGAAGACGAGATACTTTTGCAAGAAATCAATGATGAATATTATAAGTAACATAATAGAAAGAACTTTTTGGGGGGTAAAAATGAATCCACACCTTATAACTGGGAAGTAATTTTTGATAAGGTTGCTCATGACCTGCAGCGCTTCAAGCCTAATGGGCAGAGGTTCAAACTTTTGAAGGGCTTCTAGCCTGCACTGTCCATCCTCTTTTGTCAGGTCAGGCTGACCTGTGGTGTAAAAAAATTATACTCGAATGTTGGCAGAATGATACAAACTAAATGTTGGCAGAATAATAAAAACAAAATGTTGGTAGAATAATACAAACTAAATGTTGGTAGAATGATAGTAGAATGATACAATTGAAATGTTGGCAGAATGATACAGACTATGTTAAAAAACACAGATGGGATGAAGTGCATTCCATACTCTAGGGGAAGAGTTGGATGTTCCAAGCATCAGTGTTAAGAATTAATAAACTTGAAAAGCTTTGATAGTTCATAAAGTGAATTTAATTTCACTTTGCTCAAATATGCTATTGTACAAAAGGGAACCTGTATTTTTCTTTGTACGACCCCACGAATTAGTTTATCCTGCTGACTCACCTGTAATGTTTTTAACACAAAGTTTTATCACCCACGACGTCTCCCTGGCGTGAGCTTGCAGCAGCTGATCTGTGTAGATGGGTGTGTCCCCTCCACAGCTGGCCCCCAGCAGCGGGCTCATAGCTCCAGAGTTTTCAGGGAACTGATCGCACAAATTCATGGGCTCCCCTGACTCAAAAATGTTTAATTTTTCTTCGTTGCCAACCAGCTTCACTTTAGAATGGTCAGAGTCATTTGCAGCCAATGATTCGACAACGCAGGGGTCCCCAGTTCCAGAATAACCGTCGCCGTTTATAAGTACCTCGCCAACTTTCTTTGCAGGGATTTCCTCGAGATGGAATTCATTGATGGAATCCCCAAGCTCCGTGGGGTGCTCCTCCAAAACATTGGGCACATGAGGTGTGGCAAAACTAGGGTAGAGGAGGTAGGAAGCATCCTCGGGTCTGAACAACGGGGAATCCCCAGGGTTGGCCGAACGGTTGACACCCACTGGAGGCTGAGGAGGCTTGATCAGCTGGGAAACTTCCATCAGAGGTGGTTTAATGCCCACTATAGAACCTATACACGTCAGGCAGGCTGTTCGCACATTGGGGTCTGGAAGTGAACATATGAAATCAACATTTTTGTCACATTTCTTTTGAGAACTTTGATCTTGATCTAAAGCAATAAGCAAGTCTTAACCAATTTTAAAAAAATGTGCTGGACTATTTTAATTGGTATCCTTTTGGAAACATATATGGCAAAGAGTTAAACCCATATTCTTTATCGAGCATTTGACTATTTCTTTATTTAGCATGTGGGCCATATCACATTGTTTATCTAGCAGTTGGGGTGTATTCTTTATTAATCAATAATTTCCATTTACTTAAGTTTGCATTTATTCAATAAACTTTAATAACAAAGTGTAAAATGGTTGACTAGAGAGACAACGTGTCAGTAATTATATTTAGTATGGTGCATACCTTTGTGGTTGAAAAAATGCCTGATCTGTTTAAGAACTCTGGTCAGGAGGCCAGGATTGAGTCTGTGATATGGAGCATTGTTCACCAGATTTGCTAGGCACTGAAAACAAGAGGAGAACACTATGTTGCAGGTTGTTGCTAATTCAGCAGGGAGCAGATATAACCTAAAGGGCTCAATTACAAATTGGCTACAAGTGAAGTAAGATATGGAATGTCTTGGAGATATTTAAGATGAGACCATATATGAAACGTTCACAGGACTTATTGCTAGGATGTTAGGATTTTACCCCCCTACATGCTTGGAGAGGTTAAGATATACAATAAAGTGCCACAGAGGATTAAATTTATCACAATAGAATTAACAGGGCATATGAGGACCTTTTCTTTTGTTGGCCAGTGCAGTGTGTGCCTGAGATATGTTGGCCAGTGCTGTGTGTACCTGAGATGTGTTGGCTAGTGCAGTGTGTGCCTGAGATGTGTTGGCCAGTGCAGTGTGTGCCTGAGATATGTTGGCCAGTGCAGTGTGTGCCTGAGATATGTTGGCTAGTGCAGTGTGTGCATGAGATGTGTTGGCCAGTGATGTGTGTGCCTGAGATGTGTTGGCTAGTGCAGTGTGTGCCTGAGATATGTTGGCCAGTGCAGTGTGTGCCTGAGATATGTTGGCTAGTGCAGTGTGTGCATGAGATGTGTTGGCCAGTGATGTGTGTGCCTGAGATGTGTTGGCTAGTGCTGTGTGTGCCTGAGATATGTTGGCTAGTGCAGTGTGTGCCTGAGATGTGTTGGCTAGTGCAGTGTGTGCCTGAGATATGTTGGCCAGTGCAGTGTGTGCCTGAGATATGTTGGCTAGTGCAGTGTGTGCCTGAGATGTGTTGACCAGTGATGTGTGTACCTGAGATGTGTTGGCTAGTGCAGTGTGTGCCTGAGATGTGTTGGCCAGTGCAGTGTGTGCCTGAGATATGTTGGCCAGTGCAGTGTGTGCCTGGGATGTGTTGGCTAGTGCAGTGTGTGCCTGAGATATGTTGGCTAGTGCAGTGTGTGCCTGAGATATGTTGGCCAGTGCAGTGTGTGCCTGAGATGTGTTGGCCAGTGCAGTGTGTGCCTGAGATGTGTTGGCTAGTGCAGTGTGTGCCTGAGATGTGTTGGCCAGTGCAGTGTGTGCCTGAGATGTGTTGGCTAGTGCAGTGTGTGCCTGAGATGTGTTGGCTAGTGCAGTGTGTGCCTGAGATGTGTTGGCTAGTGCAGTGTGTGCCTGAGATGTGTTGGCTAGTGCAGTGTGTGCCTGAGATGTGTTGGCTAGTGCAGTGTGTGCCTGAGATGTGTTGGCTAGTGCAGTGTGTGCCTGAGATGTGTTGGCTAGTGCAGTGTGTGCCTGAGATGTGTTGGCTAGTGCAGTGTGTGCCTGAGATGTGTTGGCTAGTGCAGTGTGTGCCTGAGATGTGTTGGCTAGTGCAGTGTGTGCCTGAGATGTGTTGGCTAGTGCAGTGTGTGCCTGAGATGTGTTGGCTAGTGCAGTGTGTGCCTGAGATGTGTTGGCTAGTGCAGTGTGTGCCTGAGATGTGTTGGCTAGTGCAGTGTGTGCCTGAGATGTGTTGGCTAGTGCAGTGTGTGCCTGAGATGTGTTGGCTAGTGCAGTGTGTGCCTGAGATGTGTTGGCTAGTGCAGTGTGTGCCTGAGATGTGTTGGCTAGTGCAGTGTGTGCCTGAGATGTGTTGGCTAGTGCAGTGTGTGCCTGAGATGTGTTGGCTAGTGCAGTGTGTGCCTGAGATGTGTTGGCTAGTGCAGTGTGTGCCTGAGATGTGTTGGCTAGTGCAGTGTGTGCCTGAGATGTGTTGGCTAGTGCAGTGTGTGCCTGAGATGTGTTGGCTAGTGCAGTGTGTGCCTGAGATGTGTTGGCTAGTGCAGTGTGTGCCTGAGATGTGTTGGCTAGTGCAGTGTGTGCCTGAGATGTGTTGGCTAGTGCAGTGTGTGCCTGAGATGTGTTGGCTAGTGCAGTGTGTGCCTGAGATGTGTTGGCTAGTGCAGTGTGTGCCTGAGATGTGTTGGCTAGTGCAGTGTGTGCCTGAGATGTGTTGGCTAGTGCAGTGTGTGCCTGAGATGTGTTGGCTAGTGCAGTGTGTGCCTGAGATGTGTTGGCTAGTGCAGTGTGTGCCTGAGATGTGTTGGCTAGTGCAGTGTGTGCCTGAGATGTGTTGGCTAGTGCAGTGTGTGCCTGAGATATGTTGGCCAGTGCAGTGTGTGCCTGAGATATGTTGGCTAGTGCAGTGTGTGCATGAGATATGTTGGCCAGTGCAGTGTGTGCCTGAGATATGTTGGCTAGTGCAGTGTGTGCCTGAGATGTGTTGGCCAGTGATGTGTGTGCCTGAGATGTGTTGGCTAGTGCAGTGTGTACCTGAGATATGTTGGCTAGTGCAGTGTGTGCCTGAGATGTGTTGGCTAGTGCAGTGTGTGCCTGAGATATGTTGGCCAGTGCAGTGTGTGCCTGAGATATGTTGGCCAGTGCAGTGTGTGCCTGAGATATGTTGGCCAGTGCAGTGTGTGCCTGAGATATGTTGGCTAGTGCAGTGTGTACCTGAGATGTGTTGGCCAGTGCAGTGTGTGCCTGAGATATGTTGGCCAGTGCAGTGTGTGCCTGAGATATGTTGGCTAGTGCAGTGTGTGCATGAGATATGTTGGCCAGTGCAGTGTGTGCCTGAGATATGTTGGCTAGTGCAGTGTGTGCCTGAGATGTGTTGGCTAGTGCAGTGTGTGCCTGAGATGTGTTGGCTAGTGCAGTGTGTGCCTGAGATGTGTTGGCTAGTGCAGTGTGTGCCTGAGATGTGTTGGCTAGTGCAGTGTGTGCCTGAGATGTGTTGGCTAGTGCAGTGTGTGCCTGAGATGTGTTGGCTAGTGCTGTGTGTGCCTGAGATGTGTTGGCTAGTGCAGTGTGTGCCTGAGATGTGTTGGCTAGTGCAGTGTGTACCTGAGATGTGTTGGCTAGTGCAGTGTGTGCCTGAGATATGTTGGCCAGTGCAGTGTGTGCCTGAGATGTGTTGGCTAGTGCTGTGTGTACCTGAGATGTGTTGGCTAGTGCAGTGTGTGCATGAGATGTGTTGGCTAGTGCAGTGTGTACCTGAGATGTGTTGGCTAGTGCAGTGTGTACCTGAGATGTGTTGGCTAGTGCAGTGTGTACCTGAGATATGTTGGCTAGTGCAGTGTGTACCTGAGATGTGTTGGCTAGTGATGTGTGTGCCTGAGATGTGTTGGCTAGTGCAGTGTGTGCATGAGATGTGTTGGCTAGTGCAGTGTGTGCATGAGATGTGTTGGCTAGTGCAGTGTGTGCCTGAGATGTGTTGGCTAGTGCAGTGTGTACCTGAGATGTGTTGGCCAGTGCAGTGTGTGCATGAGATGTGTTGGCTAGTGCAGTGTGTGCCTGAGATGTGTTGGCTAGTGCAGTGTGTGCCTGAGATGTGTTGGCCAGTTCAGTGTGTGCCTGGGATGTGTTGGCTAGTGCAGTGTGTGCCTGAGATGTGTTGGCTAGTGCAGTGTGTGCCTGAGATGTGTTGGCTAGTGCAGTGTGTGCCTGAGATGTGTTGGCTAGTGCAGTGTGTGCCTGAGATGTGTTGGCTAGTGCAGTGTGTGCCTGAGATGTGTTGGCTAGTGCAGTGTGTGCCTGAGATGTGTTGGCTAGTGCAGTGTGTGCCTGAGATGTGTTGGCTAGTGCAGTGTGTGCCTGAGATGTGTTGGCTAGTGCAGTGTGTGCCTGAGATGTGTTGGCTAGTGCAGTGTGTGCCTGAGATGTGTTGGCTAGTGCAGTGTGTGCCTGAGATGTGTTGGCTAGTGCAGTGTGTGCCTGAGATGTGTTGGCTAGTGCAGTGTGTGCCTGAGATGTGTTGGCTAGTGCAGTGTGTGCCTGAGATGTGTTGGCTAGTGCAGTGTGTGCCTGAGATGTGTTGGCTAGTGCAGTGTGTGCCTGAGATGTGTTGGCTAGTGCAGTGTGTGCCTGAGATGTGTTGGCTAGTGCAGTGTGTGCCTGAGATGTGTTGGCTAGTGCAGTGTGTGCCTGAGATGTGTTGGCTAGTGCAGTGTGTGCCTGAGATGTGTTGGCTAGTGCAGTGTGTGCCTGAGATGTGTTGGCTAGTGCAGTGTGTGCCTGAGATGTGTTGGCTAGTGCAGTGTGTGCCTGAGATGTGTTGGCTAGTGCAGTGTGTGCCTGAGATGTGTTGGCTAGTGCAGTGTGTGCCTGAGATGTGTTGGCTAGTGCAGTGTGTGCCTGAGATGTGTTGGCTAGTGCAGTGTGTGCCTGAGATGTGTTGGCTAGTGCAGTGTGTGCCTGAGATGTGTTGGCTAGTGCAGTGTGTGCCTGAGATGTGTTGGCTAGTGCAGTGTGTGCCTGAGATGTGTTGGCTAGTGCAGTGTGTGCCTGAGATGTGTTGGCTAGTGCAGTGTGTGCCTGAGATGTGTTGGCTAGTGCAGTGTGTGCCTGAGATGTGTTGGCTAGTGCAGTGTGTGCCTGAGATGTGTTGGCTAGTGCAGTGTGTGCCTGAGATGTGTTGGCTAGTGCAGTGTGTGCCTGAGATGTGTTGGCTAGTGCAGTGTGTGCCTGAGATGTGTTGGCTAGTGCAGTGTGTGCCTGAGATGTGTTGGCTAGTGCAGTGTGTGCCTGAGATGTGTTGGCTAGTGCAGTGTGTGCCTGAGATGTGTTGGCTAGTGCAGTGTGTGCCTGAGATGTGTTGGCTAGTGCAGTGTGTGCCTGAGATGTGTTGGCTAGTGCAGTGTGTGCCTGAGATGTGTTGGCTAGTGCAGTGTGTGCCTGAGATGTGTTGGCTAGTGCAGTGTGTGCCTGAGATGTGTTGGCTAGTGCAGTGTGTGCCTGAGATGTGTTGGCTAGTGCAGTGTGTGCCTGAGATGTGTTGGCTAGTGCAGTGTGTGCCTGAGATGTGTTGGCTAGTGCAGTGTGTGCCTGAGATGTGTTGGCTAGTGCAGTGTGTGCCTGAGATGTGTTGGCTAGTGCAGTGTGTGCCTGAGATGTGTTGGCTAGTGCAGTGTGTGCCTGAGATGTGTTGGCTAGTGCAGTGTGTGCCTGAGATGTGTTGGCTAGTGCAGTGTGTGCCTGAGATGTGTTGGCTAGTGCAGTGTGTGCCTGAGATGTGTTGGCTAGTGCAGTGTGTGCCTGAGATGTGTTGGCTAGTGCAGTGTGTGCCTGAGATGTGTTGGCTAGTGCAGTGTGTGCCTGAGATGTGTTGGCTAGTGCAGTGTGTGCCTGAGATGTGTTGGCTAGTGCAGTGTGTGCCTGAGATGTGTTGGCTAGTGCAGTGTGTGCCTGAGATGTGTTGGCTAGTGCAGTGTGTGCCTGAGATGTGTTGGCTAGTGCAGTGTGTGCCTGAGATGTGTTGGCTAGTGCAGTGTGTGCCTGAGATGTGTTGGCTAGTGCAGTGTGTGCCTGAGATGTGTTGGCTAGTGCAGTGTGTGCCTGAGATGTGTTGGCTAGTGCAGTGTGTGCCTGAGATGTGTTGGCTAGTGCAGTGTGTGCCTGAGATGTGTTGGCTAGTGCAGTGTGTGCCTGAGATGTGTTGGCTAGTGCAGTGTGTGCCTGAGATATGTTGGCTAGTGCAGTGTGTGCCTGAGATATGTTGGCTAGTGCAGTGTGTGCCTGAGATATGTTGGCTAGTGCAGTGTGTGCCTGAGATATGTTGGCTAGTGCAGTGTGTGCCTGGGATGTGTTGGCTAGTGCAGTGTGTACCTGAGATGTGCTGGCTAGTGCAGTGTGTGCCTGAGATGTGTTGGCTAGTGCAGTGTGTGCCTGAGATATGTTGGCTAGTGCAGTGTGTGCCTGAGATATGTTGGCTAGTGCAGTGTGTGCCTGGGATGTGTTGGCTAGTGCATTGTGTGCCTCAGATATGTTGGCTAGTGCAGTGTGTGCCTGAGATGTGTTGGCTAGTGCAGTGTGTGCCTGAGATGTGTTGGCTAGTGCAGTGTGTACCTGAGATGTGTTGGCTAGTGCAGTGTGTGCCTGAGATGTGTTGGCTAGTGCTGTGTGTGCCTGAGATGTGTTGGCTAGTGCAGTGTGTGCCTGAGATGTGTTGGCCAGTGCAGTGTGTGCCTGAGATGTGTTGGCTAGTGCAGTGTGTGCCTGAGATATGTTGGCTAGTGCAGTGTGTGCCTGAGATATGTTGGCTAGTGCAGTGTGTGCCTGAGATGTGTTGGCTAGTGCAGTGTGTGCCTGAGATATGTTGGCTAGTGCAGTGTGTGCCTGAGATGTGTTGGCCAGTGCAGTGTGTGCCTGAGATGTGTTGGCTAGTGCAGTGTGTGCCTGAGATGTGTTGGCCAGTGCAGTGTGTGCCTGAGATGTGTTGGCTAGTGCAGTGTGTGCCTGAGATGTGTTGGCTAGTGCAGTGTGTGCCTGAGATGTGTTGGCCAGTGCAGTGTGTGCCTGAGATGTGTTGGCCAGTGCAGTGTGTGCCTGAGATGTGTTGGCCAGTGCAGTGTGTGCCTGATATGTGTTGGCCAGTGCAGTGTGTGCCTGAGATGTGTTGGCCAGTGCAGTGTGTGCCTGAGATGTGTTGGCCAGTGCAGTGTGTGCCTGAGATGTGTTGGCCAGTGCAGTGTGTGCCTGAGGTATACATGTTTTTGTCTAATGTAGAATATGTGTGCTGTGACTATTTTTGTGAGGAATCTGGTGATGTGTTACAGTGATAAATTTGTAAGCTTCCAGTTGATGTGCTAATATGATCTGCCTTCAACATACCTTAAATGTCCTGTTCCCGCAAAAAACACCTAAAAAATAGCATTTATTTGAAACTAAAATGATATCACAGCACAATGGCTACCTTAATAATCTGGGTCAGCACAGCCTTGAAATTCTCTGCCACAAGGGCCTGTAACAGACATCTGTGGATCTCTCGGATCATGGATCCCAAGATGGCAGAGAAGGGGGTGAAAGCCGGCTGATGCGTGGTGATTTCCTCGGCAGCGGCTAGGTATGGCCGAGTGGATTCCAGCATGGCCGTCAGGCTGGCCACAGCTGCCATTCGACACTGTCAACGAAAATTAGTTTGCTCTGATAATTTTTCACTAATTTTTTCCTGCGGGTACACAGCTCATACAGCTAATCTTATAAAACTGATTGGTCAAATCAATTTTGTTTAAAAACACAGAGCTAACTGTTTTGTTTTAATCAAACTTACACACATAATTATATGGAATACTTATTAACATTTACAAACTTGTTAATTAAACTTCTGTAACATATTTATCAAAATATGCACACAAAAAAACAATGTTTTAAATATTTGTTTTGAGCTTCCTATTCTAAACAAGAGAAATTATTCTATGAAAAAATATTAGGGCAATGAAAACACTTGACCTGGTAATGAATTAATAAGGATGATCTGTTTTATTCATGAAAATAAAAACATTCTTTAAATCTCTATCAGAATGAAAGGGACCTATCTAAATGAAACAAATGAAATTAATTGTTTGACTTCTCTTGATGTTCTGAACGGGTGAAAAACATGAAGGAAGATGGTGATGGCTATGTGTTTTAAATTTAAAATCTATCTTGTATATATCTTGTATATACATAATCATCTTTCCGGTATGGTAATAAAAGCAAGGGGAATAAAACTCAGGAAATGCAACAATGACCAGTGCACAAAAATTCCACCCACAAACTTAGGGATTACAAAAATTACAGCTTTCATGAAACTCAACAAAAGATGAGATGTGTTAGAGTACAAAAACCTATTCATCAACCCTGCATTGCAGAGTTTATTGTAAATCTCTCCCACCCCCCACTATCACTAGCATGGTTTTTGCCAATTTTAGTTCTTACCTTAGGTGAGGGATCTTTAAGAATTGTGGTAAAAAGTGACTGAGTCTGGGGAGCTCCGCTGGTCGCCCCTACATCAGGGATGAATGATGACCAGTATCCAAACATGGCTTTCTTATCAATAACCTAGAAATGGATGGGACACAACAAAACATGTTGAATAAATCAAGTTATTGAATGACATTTATTTTTTTTAAATTGTATAATCATTATATACATTTTATTTTATTTTTCTACTGTTGAGCAACAGCATTACCTTTTATGATTTGAAAATAATTAATCCTAGATTATTGCACACGTTTCTTTTAGATCAAAAGAGGTGATACTGAATAGTAACAGAATTAGAGTTTGGGGACAATGCATTTGGGAATGTGTCATTTTGATTTCTCTCTATTTGTCCCTGCTTACTGCATTCCCTTTTGAGTGGGTTCATTGAATGCTAAAATGGGATCATTGAATGCTAAAATGGGATCATTGAATGCTAAAATTAGTACCAAGTTGTGTGAAAAATATGATTCCAAACTGTTGAGTACCTCAGCAGCTATCACAAGATACCCCATCTAGTCAATAGCCCTGTGTCCTTATGTGAGTAAAGTCCAGCAACGTGTAAAAAGCCTTATTGCTAATATAAATTATAATAACTTGGTAACAGAATTTGTCATGATATGTATGCCTGTTGATATAAAAAAATCTGTTATAAAAAAATGAACTAAATTTATTTAACAAAAAAGCGAGCTACAAAATTAAACAATTGAATTGAGAATGTAGGCTTTCTCAGAGATTATGAATCCTCATCAAAATATCAGTTTCATCATAAATATTGACATAATGTAACATCTTAAATTGGTGCCTTATCTATTTGTGATGAACAATTTTTTTTAAAGTCAAAGTTGTGACATTTTTACGGGTCAAAGTTATAAAATTTTTAGCTGATGGAATGAACCACTTTCATTTAGGTATAAATTGATATCAACAATTTAGGAAGGAAGTGGGTATCTTGTTCACTGATGTTTAAACCATATCTACGTTTTACCAATGTCAATCGAAGTGGAGTTGATTTAAAGCAAAAAGTAAGTACAATGTGTTTAAGGACATAAACTATTTAGAAACAAAATACATAAACTTAATTTTAACTAATGTACCCACTCGAACAATGTTGAGGAAGCAGTTGAGGGCGCACTGCCTAACTTTGACAGCTTCAGACTTGTGCTGCTGGGCCCGTCCTCGATCGGTGTCCGAGAATTCAGAGTCAGAGCTGCTCAGCCTCCACCATGTCATCTCCAGGCTCAGAGCCTCGGTCTCAGCCTCAGGCGTGATGCTGCTCCATGACTGGCCCGGTGTTATCCTTAGTTCTGTGGGTCGCCCGCGTTCTTCGTAGCCGACACCATCACTTCTCTCTCCTCCAGAGTTGTCTCCCCTCCTGCCCCTTCCTTTCTTTTTTTTCTGTTTCTTGTTACCAGCGGCTGCCCCATCACCTCTCCCTCGGCCTCTACTTTGCCAGGTCTGTGATATTCAAGGATTGGCATTTCATGAGATTGGATAGGCAAAAACAAAAATTACAGATATAATCTATCTCTTGAGAAAGAAAAAAAAAATATATATATAAATGAAAACATAGTAAATAAAACTCTATAATACCAGGAATAATTGTAAAGCTAAACCAGCTGGCATAATAGTAAAGCTAGATCAACGGGCATAATAGAAGTTATGGATTTACTGAGTTTAAACTTTCATTACACAAATACAAAAAAAAGTGTACCCTTACAAGAAAAAATAATTGAGTTTAATAACATCACACATGTCATAGTTATCTTTGTGATTTGTGATGGAAATTACACTAAAGAATACATTTAAATATTTCAAGAACAATAATTTTGTTTAAAAATAACATCATCTCTTACCTCCCCTGATGTGCCAGCACTAGCAGGTTTATCTTTTCCTGCCTGTTTGATAGTCTTGGAGGAAGCCAAAGGATCGTAAGGGGTAACCACATTGGGGTACAGCTGAGATGGAATGTTCACTGTCTGGCTGGTGGTCAGACCATAGAACATGTAGGCCTTTTGAAAGAGATGAGATGCTGATGAGGCAAACAAATGTGAGCCATGTGATAATAAACAGGGCATATCATCTGGAAGACAAATGGAAATCTACAAACAATACTGATTTTTAACAAAATCAAATTGTCTTTCATGTTACAAGATTTTGCTAATTCTTACCCCCCACTCTCAAACCTCCTTGGAGCATGACACCAATTTTGGACACTCCACACATCAATATTTAATCTATTTATTAAATTTGTAAAAAATGTTCTTTTTATCCACAAAGATTTCCAAGTTCAAAATTATTTTTTTTAGCTGATCTTCCTTTTCATGATACTTGTTTTCTTAAGGTACAGAGAAAAAGAAATAAAGAATGAGTTTTGGAGAAATATTCAAATTACTGACAAAGCAGACACTGACCCTGACTGCTGCAAACAATATTCCCAGTTCAATATTCGGTAGACGCTTTAGCATGACAATATTCTGGATGCCACTGAAACAATGCATCAGCATCTATAGGAAAAAAAATGAAACTTAAAAATGTATATACGTAAAATTGTTATACAAAATTCTGTTTTTTGGAATTGAACTCACACTACCAACACTGAATGACTTGTTGAGAGTATTTGCTTACATAGTATGAATAGTATTACCGAAAATAATATATACCAATTTACGATATATACCAATAAAACACACATTTTTTTTTTAAAGAAAAGCTAGCATGAAAAAACTTGCTTTTTGTTAAATAAAATAAAAAGATGTCCAAATAAAGGGTTATTATGAGGAAATTTCACTGATTTCCAGTGCCACTTTGTGAGGGAATCATGCACTAGGGGTTTGAAGGCTTGAGGCAATAGACACAAATGTGTCTAGTGTTGTCGCCTCAACCGTTCCTTTTGAAAGATTGTTCCAGTCCCTGATTGTCTTGGGCAGGAATGAGCAGCTCCTACACTGGCTTCTTGCTGGTATGAGTCTGAATTGCCTGTCATGGCCTCGTCGCTGTCTATGGGGGAGAGGGACGAGTTTCTGTTTAATACTGGAACAGTGGACCAGCCCATTATTTATCTTGTACATCATGGAGAGCCTGGATTGTCGTCGTCGTTCCTCCAATGGTGACCAGCCTAGTGTTTCCAGCATGCTGCCAACACTAGAGGTATTCCTGTAGCGGTTTAGGACAAAGCGTGCTGCTCGTCGCTGGACCGCCTCCAACCTGTCAATGCTCTTCTGGGTAAATGGGTCCCAGACTGAAGATGCATAATCTAAAATCGGACGGATAAAGGCTTTATATGCTCTTTCTTTCACACAGGAGTTGCCAATCTTTAGATTTCGCCTTAAGAACCCCAGGGTCTTGTTTGCTTGGTTACATACATTGTTAATATGCTCGTCCCAGCGGACCTCTCTTTGAATGGTAACACCCAGGTACTTTACGGAGGAAACTGGCTCAAGTATATGGCCGTGCAGTTCGTATTGGTAGTGTAGAGGAGTACAACTTCTAGAGACTGATAGTGTCTGGCACTTGGCAGGGTGAAATTCCATGTCCCAGCTCATCTCTTATTCAGCTAACATATTGAGATCCTGTTGCAGCTGGTCCTGGTCAGATCTGTTGGCGATCGTCCTATATACCGCTGTGTCATCTGCGAACAGTCTTGCTTGTGATGTCAGTTTCTCGGGTAGGTCATTAATGTATGCTAGGAACAAACAGGGGCCCAGGACTGATCCCTGACTTCACATCAACAAAACCAGGTCTGTCTCTAACTAAGGGTAAATGGCTTGAGTAAAAAAAAACTCAAACCTCAAGTCAGAACCCATCTGGCCGTGGACTATAAATAAGCTATCTACACTATCCAAACACAAAAGCCTAAAGATAGTTGATAAACTTTTAAATATTTTGTAATATTATTACATAACTTACTTTATTGCGCAGGGGCACTCCCATTTTCAAGTTTGGGGCTCTGTGCAGTAAGTGGACCAGGGTATCAAAACTGGCAGATAGATACCTAACCTCAATTTTGTCTGCAAAATTAGGTCTGTAGAAATGTACAAATTACATTTAAATAATATTTTTTGTTTCCCAAACTCACCAACAAGGAAAGAACTTACATAGTGTTTTCATTTCCGTTCATTCATGTTATTTTAAATATAATTTTTAAATCAATAAACGAATCATTAATTCCAATCAGCCAGGCGACATCAAGACATTAATTGTAACCTGATAGCTGTAAACAGTGCCAGGCATTTGACTGCCTTCACAACAACTTCGTCCTCACATGTAGTGTCATCAGTGAGCTGTAGCAAAATGCCTTTACCTCCAACAAGGACATCATGAAATTTCTGTGTTGAGAATATTGAGTTGTATTACGTCACGGTAACTCTCTGAACACGTAACTTAGATTTTCCAAGAGACACTAAAAATCCAATAACTTAAAAACAAACTTTTAAAAACCTTTTTGATTATATCATGTGACAAAATATTTATGTTTTAAAAATACTTTTAAAGAACGTTGGGAAGCCCACGATCTTTTAATAAATTTGGAGAAAAAAAATGAGTGAGTTACAACAATAATAATTAAAGCCTATCTAACAAAGAGAATGTTTTCAGTTTTAACACAAAATTTTTTAAAATGATCTCATCTACTGCATATGGCACCAGCAAAACAAATAATGGAAAGTGCTTACCTCTATACGATGTGTATTGTTTAATATAGCAGCACTAAGTGCACTGAGAATTTCTGTGTGGGTGAAACTTTGAGTCTGAAGCAGTGCATCTGTTAAAAATTGAACAACTGCATGCAGATCCTCTGTTGCCAAAACAACCTAAAACAATTTTCAGTTAAAAAAATTTTTTGGGAGTTTTCAAAATATTTTATAACATTTGCTACATTAATGAGCATTTGGGTTAAACACAACATGTCAAACATTTCTATCTAAAATTATCCTTTTTGGTTGGTAATCTTGCTTTAAGGTTTTTATCTAATTAATTGTTCAAATTTAAACTCCACAACCCAAACTTCAGTAAAATAGCAAGAGTAATAAAATGAGACATGCTGTTCATAGTATTTAGATGAGTCTTACATTCTTGTGTATACAGAAGTTAAAGATGACAAGACACAATTTAGCAACAATTCTCTCCAAATGTAGTGGAATGGACTTGGCCAAATGTGCCAGCAATGCACTGCCCTCCTGAAATTTTAGAATAAAAATATTTTTATAAATAAAGATCAAAACATCAACAAGAAATTCCCCACTCCCTTAACATTGCTGAAAATTCTAGGACTAATTTTAGCAGTAGCAGCACTTTAATTTTTTTTAGAAATTTGGCTAACATAGGTATTTAGCTTTTTTCATCATTTTTTACATGTGCCTTATGAGCAGTCAAGAAGAAATGATTATTTAAAATTCAAGACAGCCTCATTGTTACGACAAAAACATTATAAAAACAAGCATTAAGCAGTAATTTTACAATTTTAAAGTTATTATTTAATAAATAATAAGGAAGTGTCTACACGTCAGGCGCGCTGAACAAATAGTGTGGGAAATATACGTCCGGACGACTAGTAGGTGTTATTATTCCGAAGGAAGTATCTACCAAGAAGATCTTGTGTGGTCATGTGGTAGAGTGGCCGCTTGACGATATTATATTTGTGGATCTATTCCCGGCATAGGAATCCTTTTTTTTCCCCATTTTAATTAAAAATATTTTATATTATTATATTTATATTATTATATTTATATTATCATGTTCATCAGCAACAGTAGTTTTATGAGAAGTTTTAAAATATTTTGTAGCAATTTAAAATGTTTACTTTACAATTTAAAATCTTTTACTTTTATTGGTTGCCTACTCCATACTGAATACTGGCCCCTAATTATATTATGGGTTACTGGTACACAAACTCAAATAACAAACTAAACAAAAATGTTTACAAGCCACTTTCACTTCAGTTTTTTTCTATTATTTGCATGCAAGATGTACATTACTTGGTAGAGAAATAGATTTTAAAATTAACAATAGTTTTGAGTCATTCGCGGGACGTGACAAGGCTGATGAACAAAATATCTCTCGCCACTTTGTTACTGTGGTCGTGTTACTTGGTCGCCAGACGAATATCTCGATAAAGTATTCTTCCGGCGGTCATGTGACTTGGTCGCTGGACAAATAGTGCGGGAGATATACATCCGGCGCGCTGGACGTATAGACACTGCCAAATAATAAAGTAACAAAGCAAAATGAAAACAATAAAACTGGATCACAAAATGAGGATGTGCAGTCAATAAACAAAGTAAAAAAATTGACAAAGCCGACAAATGAACTCACATTAAATTATTTTGTTTAAAGTTGATGTCTTCATTTATTTATTTAAATTTAATTAAATTAGTAAAAGTTAAGTTTTAGTTTAGATTTTAGACTTAGACAGACGACACTGTTGATACTTACGAAATCGTGTAGAAATTTGCATACTTGAGAATCTGCGGCAATTACTTCATCTAATAATAAACTTAGTGAATTTTTGGATTTATCGTCATCATCAAATACAAATTTCTGTAAGCGAGTCACGCTTTCCCTGAATTTCTTGGCCTCTGCCTCGTCTAGTATACATCGGGAGGCGGCCATCTTGTTTATAGCCGGTAACAGGGAGTAATCTTTTTTTTAATACTAAGTATTGCTTGATTTTTAAAAGCCGGTTTCAAAATTCAAAAGCTTAAGATCTAACCCCAACTTAATTTTGAAATTTTTAATTAAAAAAAAAATCACTTCCACATTCAGCCTATACACAAAAGTTATGTACAGTATACTTATTGACTACCTTTAACACGACGGTATACTTACTTAGGTAAAAGCTATGTAGCCACCGAGTAAATGTAGCTTAATAAAATTAGCTACCGTTCAAGTACAGCGTGTTTTGATTCATATAATTGTGTTAAGCAACATATTTTACTGTCATGACAATTTTAATTATTTATACCCATTTATTTAAGTATGCTCATTATGTTGACTGATAAATGCATTTTAAAAAATTGGTGCAATGAAGCGTACTAAAATGCGCGTTATAATTAATAAGATAAGTGTGTATAGATGTATTCTCTGTTCACTGCTAAAATAAATGTCAAGATGTTTGTGCAAGAAGAAGTGTCATAAGAATTTTGTGTATATGTTTGGTGGGAATATGATTTCAAGTGAGCTATATCTTGTTGTAGTTAGTTAGCCTTTATTTCTTTTTACTTTTAAGGTAAATAAACTAATATTTAATATGTTTCTTTTTATTTAATCAACAGTGTTACTCCTTAAATAATTTAGATCCGTAAAACATGAGGGAAATCTAATATTTTTTATTGAGGGAGTAGTGAAAAACTTATATAAGAAATTCCACCATCTTGAGGAATATTTTGCAGTGATAAAGTAAAAGAAAAAGTATAGATTAGATTGATAACTTAATTTAATAGTTAAACTAGAATATGAATGACATGTTCTGTAAATAATAAAATATTAACTTATTAATATCAACTTAAGAACATTGCATATAGGCCTAATAAAAATTTGAACAATTTCATTAATTTCAAGAAGATGTGTTCATTGTGTGAAAAGATGGCTAAACTATAAAGTTTAAATTTCATGTTAGGTCAAGGCCATTAAATTCTCAGACTTAGAAAATTCATGATTTATAAAATTATATTTAAAATAACGATACAATCATAATTTCATATATGGTTTTGTTACATTTACCATTTTGAAAAATTTAACTTTCAGCTTCGTATTTTACTGTCACATTTGGAATCTCACCAGCCAACAGAAATTATGAAATCTATTTTAACGAGCATCTGGATGATTTCATTATTTTAATTACAAATTTTAGCTCGATATTATTTTTTAAAATGTTTCACTCTTAGGAAAATGTAACGAGGAGGCCTATATATTTTATTTCTAGCTCTTTTTTTTTTTCGGGGGATCAACACAGACATTCCCCCCCCCCCCCCTTTTTTTTTTTTTGTTTTTTTTTTTTTTCGGGGGATCAACACAGACCTTCCCCCCCCCCTCTTTTTTTTTTTTTCGATTTGTAATTGTGTCCCCTTTCACAGACTTTATTGATTTCCTCTATTACCATAATATATTATAGGCATAGGAAATAATTATTTTTAATATTAAAGCCCCTTAACTATAAAATATCATTAAATTTATGAATGAAAATTAATTGTTCGACTAGTTGGAATTAAAATATATCTAGATTGGGTAAAGTCAAGAGTTAAAAGGATTTTTTCTAATCACCGTTTAAAAAATGTATATATTAGTGATTTCCCTTGACGTCCCAACATTCTTATCGTCAACGCCGCCATGATTGACGCTTTGGCAGGTGACAAAGGTGTAGGGGCATTGTAAACAAAGACCGGTGCTGGTTTTCATATCTTGAATTCTTGAAAGTTGGGACTAAACTGTTTACGTGCAGTTGTTTCAAGATCTACATTTGATTTATTAAACTAGAGACTGTGAAAACGTATATGACAAAATGAGTTCCGATGCTAAAACATCATCGAAGAAAAAGGAAGGATTTCTTCGCAGACAAGTAAAATCGAAATCGGATCCCGTCACAGAAGAAGAATTACTGAAGAAGGACGTCGTTACACCTGATGACGTTTTAAGGCTTACAAAATGCACAGAGAGTGAGTTTATTGGCAATAGGCTTTAGGTCTAATTTTTGGTGGGTAATCCCTTATTTTAGCACAATAAATTAATAATTTGATTAATTAAAATTTTTTTGTAAAAATAAACGTCCAATGGCACAGTTGAATAAAGCTAATTTTTTAAAGAATTATAACACCAAAATCATATTTTAGCTGTTGTAGTTTTAAAGTTATGAATTTTTAAAGTACAACTTAATTTTTCCTTTTTTAACATGGACCGCATCTCCATTTTCTGGTACCCAATTCCGCTGTTACTGTTTGCGTCACGAGCTATATAACTCTTGTTTTAATGATAATTTTATTTTCAGAACTAATGCTGTATTAAAAAAATAAGTTTAATAATGTTAAAAATTTATAGATAAATTGTAGCTTATCTAAATATGCAATATTTATATCAGTAAACTTAACATAATGTATCAATATATGGCTTTTCAGTTTACCAAATCTTCAGCGTCCATTATACCGGTATATGCTATATAGTCTATATAAGGCAACGCACCCCATAAAATGTTGTTTGGGATCTACTTATTTTGAACTTTCAACTTTGGCACATGACTAATTAATTAAAGCTTTCCCTGACCAATGGTGTTAATAGTTTTTGCACATGGCAAACTCTTATGAATGAAACTTGAGGTAGTCGGTAGTACTACGGCATAGCATTATGCAAATGGCTGTGAATGGTTTCCCATGACTTTTTGCACACGGTCAATTCTGATCACTAATAATATGGACTCTACTGGGTTTTTAAAGCTCAAATTTAAAAATTCTAGTTCAAATGTCTTCAAAATGCATTCTGAAACACAAGTTATCAAATATTTTGATGTATATAGAGATAATAATGAATATTTCCTAAGCTAAGCATCGGCGTTTTCCGCCATTTAAGAGGGGGTGGGATCACTAATCCAAAATGGCCTGTGCGACCTTTGCATAATGAGGTCAACGTTGAGAAGAATTGTGAAAATGTTTCATGAGCTAACTGAATGAAATTTTGCACACGTGCACTTCAACAAATTATGCCGGCCTACTTTTAATATGAAACACCTACTTTGAATATTTAGACCGAATTTTTTAATGCGAAGATGCCTGATATTGACATATGATTTTCCTTACTTAACGTTGATATAAAGAAAAAATTAACGCAATGGGAATGTAGTTCAACATTACTCCTAACGTTAATGGGCGGAGTCAGACCTTAATTATGGGCCAAAAGGACTCCTAATTTATTCAAATTACATGCACATGAAAAAAATTAAAAACTCGGATTTAATTGCGCCGACGCCCATTTCCGATACACATTTACTAGGAGTGTCCCTTGCTTCGGCGGAGTGCCTAATTTGATCGCAATCCATTATCATATTTTTTGTGTTTAATAGAACAATTACAAGTTATTGTTTTCCAAATATTTCGTCATAAGTTTATTTGGTTTTTAAGTGATTTAAAATATATGTCCAAAAAATCTGTTGTTTGATAAAAAAACAGTCATATTTGTGGTAATATTTTTTCAGTTTTGTTAAATTTATGCTTGATGCTTCCCCCTGGTATGCAGCGTTTTTTGAACTAGTTTTTCCCCTCTATTGCCATCTTTGTTGCCATGACACCAGACATGGTCAAAAGTAGTCCAAATACACATATGCATCTGCCAAAATGGGGAGGGGAAAGGGAGAGTGTATGTAGTTTTAGTTACATAACAAAGAATAGGCCTATTGAATAATGAATGGCAAAACCTTTTCAAAAAGACATACAAAATTAGCAAAAATCATGCAAATTTAATTACATACTTTGTGTGCCAAAAAAAACTTCAAGTCTACATAACCTGAATCCGTTTTTTCCATCCGGATCCGGATTTTCTTATGCGAAATCCGCCGGATTCGGATCCGGATTCCGGAATAATCCGGATTCCGGTTTCTCCCGGATTTTGGTACCATTGGTAGATACTGCGGTAAGTCAAGGTGGACTACTACTTTTTGTGTATGGGAATTCGCAATCGGCGCCAAAAAATCCGAGTTTTTAATTTTCCGATGTGTGTGTCTATTTATTATTAAATTAGTACTTTCGATATATATTTGAGTTCCGTTCCATTTGGATATGTGTCTTACGAGAGACGCCATGTTTCTACGCGTTCGCAGCAGGTCATGCAGCTCGCTCAACCTAATTTCGCCATGGGGTTGGCCACGCCCCCCTTTTTAATGGCGGAAGTTGACGATACTTAGGAAATATTAATATATTATCACTATTTACATCAAAATAATTGATAACTTGTGTTTCAGAATGCATTTAAAGACATTTAAACTGGAATGTTTTAATTTGAGCTTTAACAACCCGGTAGAATCCATATTATAAATGATCAGAATTTACCGTGTGCAACACGTTGTCATTGGCAACCATTCACAGCCACTTGCATAACTGTATCGTAGTACTACCTCAGAGTTTCATTCATAAGAGTTTGCCGTGTGCAAAAACTATTAAACCATTGGTCAGGGAAAGCTTTAATTAATTATTCATGTGCCAAAGTTGAAAGTTTAAACTAAGTCTAAACAGTATTTTAGTGATAAGGCAGGGAATGCGTTGCCTTATATAAACTATATAGTCATTGCGCATGACGGGATTGGTGGAATGAGATCACAGAATGTGGAGATGCAGTCCATGTTAAAAAATGACAAACCAAGTCGTACTTTAAAAATTCATAACTTTAAAACTACAACAGCTAAAAATATGATTTTGGTGTTATAATTCTTTAAAAAATTACATCTTTTCAACTATGCCATTGGTTTATTTTTACAAAAAGTTTAAATTTTCTTATCAAAGTCCCTACACTATTGGCCACTATTAGCGGTGCTGACTCTAGCCTCTGGTATGTACGGAATATTAAACATTAAACAAGCTCAACGCTCGAAACAATCGATTAATGTATCGTGATCGTGTGGAATTCGGGAAAGAGAATTACTTTTATTTCAGATTATGATCCGGTGAGTCACAAAATCTGGCAAATTCCGAAATCCGGTATATTCTGGATTCCGGAATCCGGTTGTTCCGGATACATGTAAATCCGGCGGAACCGGATTTCACCGGATAGTGCAAAATCCGGCGGAACCGGATTCCGGACCGGACTCCGGCACACCCCTACTGAAATGTAAATGTCCTTAGCAGGAAAATAAATCAGTTTCCTAACTCAGTCGTAAACTTCAAACCTAAATTTAGTCACCCCAAACTCAAGCCTAATCTTCAAAGCTAAATTTAGGCCCTCTCCCCCTAACTCTAGCATAAATCTTCAAACCCAAAATCTATGACCTAACATGAACACCAAAACCATGTGTTCTTGTGTACAGATAAGTGTAGTGTAGTGAGAAAATCATAAATTTGAATAAATAGATTAAAACAAATTTTAAAATACCGGTATTCAAAATAATGAAAACCCAACTTACACATTGAAAACACTTTTGCTCACTTTATTACTGGTTCTACCGAAAAATAAACCCAAAATATGTCAGATAAAATGAAAATCCGTTTTGCAAAATGATCACATTGGCAAAATAGCCTGGTTTTGACATATTATAATTAACCACGCGTAAATATTAATTATGAAATTCATCAATCAAAAACATTCTATGGGTGCATTAATATAGAAAAAAGAGAATAATTAACTCTAGTAATAATCTACAACTAAAAAAATGGGAGTTGACTCATCAAAAAACTCTTCAGGAAAATGTAAATTGACATCACATTTTCCCAGTCTCAGACCAAAGGTAATATTCATAAGGTAAATGTAAGTAAAAAATATACACTTAACTGAGACACTAAAACAGTCGCATAACAGGGTGTTGTATTAACTGACTGTACTACTTCAGACCTCCACACCCCCAACACACTCTCAAATAAATGTTTGAACAAGTTAAGATTAGGTATTTAGTTACTCATTTGCGCACTCATTCCAAAAAGTGGTGCAAAATCTTGTGTGTCAATATAACGTTTAGCTTGGTTGTGATCTTCTTTTTGTCATAGTTTTCTAATAATACATTTTTTTAGTTATCAGTGCCTTTCGGCGCATATTTTTCCAAACACAGTGATACCAAGTTTGCGTTTAGCGGAGATTTTTATAATTTTCTGATATTTCCTGACAGTTTATGATTAGTCTTAGTGATAAGGGCCTAGACATATTTTACAGACAGAGTCTGTTGTTCTGTGGATTAAACCAGGGCTTTTAAAAATTACAATGCTATTTAATGGAGCACGTCATAATATATTTCCAGCCAAATTAAAATTAACAAAATAAAGTTGGCCCTGTGTGTTTCATAAAAAGTAATTGATGAGGCTAAGTGATCAGTTCATATTCTCTATTCTTTATTAAGATCAAGGAGAAAAATGTTTCTGCCTTATTTATGACTTTTCTTGATGTTAGTATTCTAGCCTAAATGCCTTTTCACATTTTTATAATAATTGTTTAGAAATGAAATATTTACACTAACAAAAGCATCTTGGAGTTTGCCATCAAGTAGACAAGTAAGATGATGATAGTTTTTGTGGTGTTCAGTTCCAGCAAATTAAAATTTTCACATCAGAATTTCCCCCCCCCCCCCCCCAATTGATAAAAATTGAAGACCAAAAAAAAAATGAAATAAATACAATGATGTAACACACTTGAGGAACAAACTCTTAATTATTCTAGTCTTTATTTTACATAATATTGAGTACTGTATTTTTATTTTAAATATCGTTTATATTTTAAGTATAATATTCTATTTTCAGAATACTTGTGCCCACCTGAAGCTAATATATATGGTATTGACTTTACAAGGTTCAAGTTAAGAGATATTGATTCAAATCAGGTTCTTTTTGAAGTAGCAAAACCAGCTCCAACATATGAAAATGGTTAGTAACACCTTCTGTCAATCACTCCAGCGCACGTCCACTGAGCAATAAAAACTTATAAAAAATAGACAAAATTTAATCCTTGTGTTTCAAAATGCGTTAAAGAATGTTTAATATTAATATGTACACATATAAAAGTTGTTTTATAAAAAATTTATATGTAAAACAGTGTTTGATTTACCAAGCATGTATTTAATTCCATTTTTATATGGAATTTGTAATATGAAACATTTTTTAAAAGTCAAATTGCATTGTAAGCAAACATGTTTTCAGAATTCAAAGGTGCTAGGTATTATTTCATTTAAATAAATAATGCAGATTAGTTTTTATCACCATTCCTCAAGGACTTGAAGTAAATATTACATTTAATAAACATTTTTTTTTTTTGACACACTGAATAAAGTTGATTTTGTCATGTTTTGCTATAGGTAAATTAATTTTTACATCCATGATACTTTTTTGTAATGGCTAAAGAAAAGTTTATTTCAATAACAATGGGAATTTCAGAAGATGAAGAACAGGATTTAGCAGAGCCAGATGAGGATCCCAACTCTGGAAGATTTGTTCGCTATCAATTTACACCACACTTCTTAAAGTTAAAAACAGTAGGTGCAACGTAAGTATCCTGTTTCTTTTTTTTCTCAAACAAAGCTTGGCTCTAATTTTATAGATTTTTAATTTTTCTTCTCTTTTGCATTCTACTTTCTATTAAAAATAAATAATAATGGCCACATTGACTTTTTTTAAAAATAGCTCCTGAAATTTTTTCTTTACCTTCATATACATTTAAAAAAAATGTTTTAATTAAGTAAAATTTCAAGTAGAGTGACATAACCTAAATGACACCTGAATTCACTATTGCTAAGACAAAAGAAAGTATACGAGTGTAGACATTTAACAGCCATTAAAATAATTTCTGAGTGACATATATTAACTATGAATTTATCAGACAAAGCATATGCAACCCAATCCTTCTTACACTTAGATCTAGTAAAACCTGATTGATCCAAGTTAAATTATTATTTATTTATTTTTTTTTACTTTCATGAACTTCTTGATATAACATAATTGGGATTAGCTATTCTGTCATAATAAACATTTTGTTATTTTTATACAGTGTTAATTATTTTATTTTCTCAAGAATAATAATTAAAATATTCCCTTTCTTCACTTACAGCGTTGAATTTGTTGTTGGGGAAAAACCTGTGAACAAGTTTCGCATGATTGAAAAACATTATTTTCGTGATCGTGTCCTGAAGTGTTTTGATTTTGAATTTGGATTTTGCATCCCTCACAGTCGTAATACTGTAGAGCATATATATGAATTCCCAAAGCTTAATGAAGACACAAGTAAGTATTGACATGGTCCTATATTTAGTTCTCTTTGTTCCTATTGTTGTTGCATTATAAACCATAAACTTATTTGACAAAAAGATAATGTAATCACATGGGGGTTGTAACCTATTGGCAACACAACATTTTGCATTTGTTTTTAGTTTTATGATGCTATAATTTTGTTTTCTTGTTCTTTTAGTTCAAGAAATGGTTAGACATCCTTATGAGACTCGCTCAGACAGTTTTTACTTTGTAGAGGATCGACTAATCATGCACAACAAAGCTGACTATGCCTACAACGGTGGCACCGCCGCATCATAGTGGAAGATGATTACATTAGTTGAGTGAGAAGCCTGCAATTTTTGAAAACTTAAAGCACATGGAAAGCCTTTAAATAATTTTATTTTATTGTTTGCTCTTTTTATAAAAAAATATTTTCTAACGATTTTCAGTTAATCTACAAAACCTTTCAGTGCCATACACTAATTTGTACAGTTCTCAACTGATATCTCCCTTCCCTTGTTTGTTCTAACTTAACAAACTTAGTGTTCGTATGTTTTGTTTTCTGTTTTCTTAATATTTTTTAGGGTTTATATTTTGACACAATGACTGATTGTGTTTCTATGAAAAAAATGAAATAGATTTAGATGTCCTTTTGCAACAACAAATGAATTAAGGTGGAAGCACACTATTTTAAACTTGGATATTGTAAATGAAAAAAAGTTGTATAATGGAGTTATTTTATTCAATGATTTGCTAAATACTTAGAAATGAAATAAAAGTTAAGTTCAGAATGGCTTTATTGCAATTTTAATATTAATATAATACATAAATATAAATTGAATATATCTTAGTGTCATCAAAAAAACACTTGTATTAATGTTATAAATGTTTCAGATACGTCTACATTCATTTTTTTGTGTGGAAAATATCAAACAATTAATATCGGACTTTAAAAAAAACATAACCAACTTTATTGCATAAATGTGATGTTCATGGAGACCGCAACTCTAACCTTCACGTAGCTGTCTTTTTTTTTTTTTCTAGCATGTCTCAATTCATTTTATAGTTTATCAGATGACAATACAGATTATCTGATTTCGCTTTGAAATATTGTTGAATCATTGATTTAAACTAAACCAATGCAGAAAAATTGTCCCACCTATCTTTTTCATCATTGAAACATTTTTTTAATGACTATGGAAATTTTTTGTTTGTTTGGTGGGAGGTTGTGGAGTGTGGTTTATTGATTAGTCATTGGTATTGCTTATTTTCATTTGTATTGAAGCATTTTTCATTTCTTGCTCAATTCATAAATCGTATAGGATGTCCCATTGATAACAATTGCAACCTTTTTTTTTCACTGTGGTGTACTTTGTTTGACCATTCCATTTCTATTTACCTCAAACCCTGTGTCTTGTTTTGTTCCTGTCATTTTGAAGCTCTATCTACATTGAAATGGGGGGGGGGGTCAAAATATTTTTTAGTCAGGACAATTTGAGGTCTTAGTGTATTTGGGTTCCGCTATGAATATGTTCATTTCTTAAATCATGCACGGTTTATGGTGTTGATTTCGAGATGATAAGGAGTGCAACCATTTTGTAAATCCATAATTTTTTAACTAAAATGTTACAACTGGTGAAAGACTTTTTTGAATAATTTACACACATTATTTTATAAATAATTGTAATCATGTCCATCTCCTTGCTAAATTTAGAATTAAAACTTTGTTTTATTTTTAATTTTTATAATGAAATCTCTGCCCCTGTGGTTCTAAATTGCTTGGCTAGAGTAGATGTGTCAAATGGAAAAGATAAAATAAAAAGTGGCTAATGGGTGTCATTTTAAAATTGTTTAAAGGTACGCTATATAAGGTTGAGTGTTTAACTGTGCGCACCTCAAGGTCTACATTAAGGGAATCCTTGGTTTACTCTACTATTCCTACATGATTCCTTCTGTTGCTCAGATAATTATAAAATGGGCTGATTAAACAAAAGATGAGTTTTCGTGTAAATAAAGATGATGTATGATGTAACACAGGAGAGGGAATTTCATAAACCAAGTTCCAAAGATTTATCATTTATTTTAATTTTAAGAGAAAATTTCATGTATGAAGAACTAATGATGTCATGAACTAACGTGAGTTTTTTGTGTGCATTAAAATGATAGTTTAAAGTTGAAAAAAAAAAAAAAAAAAAAAAATCCAAATAATCATAAAATTTAAATTGTACTATAATTTCAGAGGTAGGTATTACTGACATGAATTTTTTTTAAAATTACATCAAAGCTGAAATAATGTGAATTCTTTTTTTGCATGTTTAAAAAAAATGTTTTAGTTACCGTAATTCAATTGAAGTATTTCTTAAGAAATTTACTTTACAAACATAATTTATGACATATTATAACAAAAAATATCAGTTCTTGTTAAGCGCATGCCAAAAAAAGTGAAACTTAAACCATTATTTAATCACTGGGTTACAATTAAAGAAAACCCATGTTAATATCTGTCAATATTGATTTTGGTGGCTCTACTGTGTGCCTGCTTACTATTGGTATGGGGATGTGTTAGAAGTTTAAAAAAGGATAATTTTAATATGATTAAATTTGTGAAATAAATGCAGGATCTCTGACAGCCCACTGCTAAGCTTTTAGTTTTTTCTAAACTCTTGTTTGCAATTTATTGATTTTTTGGGTTTTATTTCACATTTGCAATGGAAATGTATTTAAACGTTATAATATCATTTGCATTTGAGTTGGTTGATTTTTTTTTTTAAATTGCAGAAAGTGGTAATCTCTAAAATACATGTTTAACTCAAATACTTAGTAAATTAATGCTGAAAAATGGGGGATAAAGGTAAAGACTAGCATTGTTTTCATTTTCCAATTAGCTAAGAGGGTTGGACTATAACATTAAGAAAAAAGTAGTCTTAGATGTTCTCGGGGAACAATATATATATTTGTAATTATTTTTAAACTTGTTTTTGATTAATGCATTTTGTTATTCTTTTGTTTGATTTTTTTTAAGTTTTGTTTTTGCATCTAGTTATTGGTACATTCCAGTTTTTAATTTTTGTCTTCTGGGAGGAATGCATATCTTAATTTATGTCGATATTATGGAGGCTTGCCTCTAAGGGGATAATGCTTTTTAAAAGCTCAATTGGTCTCAGTTAAAAAAGCAGTGAAATCCAGGTAATTTTAAGTCAGCTAGTCATTCCCTTGTCTAGATTCTATTTGTAAATGTGGTTTATTATTTATTAATCATGAACACTTTACAGTAAAGCTTTTCGTTGGGGAAAGTTGTATTAATGACGATAATTTATTTCAATTTACTGCCCGTCCAATCTCATTTTCTAAATTATGCCATTGATGGATTTATCTTTGAATAGGGGTATGACTGTTTGGGATCCAAGTTTTTAAAACAAACTGCAAGAAGCTCAAAACATTGGTCTGTGACAAGCTGTAGATGGGTTCCTTAGGGGCGTTGGATATATAGTGGATGCCACTGGACAATCCTGTGCGGTTGTTATTTATTTTTTTTATTTATCTCCTTGTGTAATTATTTATTGGCAATGACTTAATGAGCTGTCTTAATCTCATAAGTGCTCTCTCTCTCTAATATGTAAATGTGGCGTGAAGAATACATGATTTTGATTAGAATGGTATGGGAGTTATGTAGTACTGTACCGTACCTTTATTTGTATAAATATGTTTTTCTTCCCCCAGTGAACTGAAAGGATTGAAACTTTATGTGATACAGGTATTGAGTGCCTCCTTGTAAAAATGAGTCTTGGAATTCTTTTCTTACTTTTTTAAGTACATCTGCTTGCACTGAAAACTTTAAAAAAAGTTTGAAGTACTGTAGTATTTATTTAAAAAATTTCAATAGATGCATAAAAAGCCATACATTATTTGGATGTTTTAATATTCCAATTGATTTTTTTTTTTAAAACTTCTCTTAAAAAAAGAAAACAGTTTATATTTAATGTTTGGTAAATTATATTAAAATAATCACCACTAATAATGTATTTATTATCATTATTATGGGGTCAGGGTTCGAAGGCAGAAAATATTTAGGAAACTTTTTTTTTTTAATTATAAAATAAATCATATAATTATTCAGGGAATTTTTTTATTTTAAAGTGGTCATTTCTATAATCCATACCCCAAAAAACATTCACTTAATTTATATACAAGATGAGTGGTTTGGCTTTCCGTCCAATTTTTTTCCATATCTGTTAATAGCAAGGCATTTTTATGTTTACTATAATCCTTACCTTTTAGCAAAACTTTTTTTTAAGGTTATTTTAATCTTTTAATATGATAGCTTTAACTACATTTTTATGCAGTGAATTTTTGGAAATAAATAGTTTTTTTTAAATCCTCCCAGAGGTAAAACTGGTTCGAGATTTTAACTGAAGAAAAATCTTATTTTGTACAGATACTCATCATCATATCAAGTTTCATAAAGCAGGTCGTGGCAATTGTTAAAAAATTACATTTAAGTTTTGTGTAAGTGTGTTAAAAAATATTGGCATGCCATGTTGCTTGAAAACAAAAAAGGTAGTTTTTGTCGTTTGTGAGTCAAGTTGAGCATGTCATGTTGATACCATCAGAACTACTGTCTCCAAGTCAAAGTAAACATGATTGCTGGTGTTATAGGTTACTGAGGTAGCTGCCTGCTCCAGAACACAACACACAAGAAATTAATCAGTTCTCTTATATTTAATGTGTTTGTGAAAGGGCTAAGTGGTATCTTTGCATAACATTGAAATGATTCCTTGTTTCTAGATACAGATAGTTGACATAACTATTACTATTACTTTTTATAAGGGACCAGAAGTTGTTTCTTTTTGTTTTTTACTGAAAGATGTTTACAATAATTAAAAGGTCATTTAATTACTAATATGTCATTTGAATCACTTACATTATTTTATCGTATACAAATCTGATGTGTTTTCCAGTTACCTTACTCAACAAAAAAACAAATATGTCTTCAAAAAAAAAAATAATAATAAGATTTACACAGATTGAATAATGCACATCAAAGAAAAAATCAACATTTTTCAATTTTAAAAATTAACCCCTGTAAAAATAAATGCAGTTAAATTGCAGCTGGTTAAAAAAAATAGCAAAAGAGTTCAACTCAACTGTTGAAAGAAAATAAGTCTTTAAAAAGATATTTCTTTATTGTCATTGGGGGTAAACGCTTGACAATGGCAGTTTCCAATAATGTGCCACACGTCATGAACTCTTTCATTTAATTGTTACATCTTAATTGATCTGAAGACACAAAGTATCATCATTCCTTTCTAAGATCTGACAAATATTTCAATGTGTTTTCACCATAAAAATTTTTAGTCAACGGGCCAATTTACATAATTTTATTTGTGTCTTGCATTTGCATCAGGCGTGTGGAGCTGAAGTCATGGATTCACTATTTGATCTTATCACTGGGCATCAAGTAAATGTATACATGTAAAATCTGTATTGCTGAAAATCTACCAGTTTCAGATTTCAAAACCTATCATGAACACTGCCTTTATTTTTTGTTTAAATTAAAAAATCAACATTAATATTGAGAGTTAACACACACAAAAGAATAAATCAATGTTGGTTTCGATTTCATTTTTTTCTGTAATTCTCAAAACAATCTATTTTTTACAGGTCTGCTTTTTAAAATGATATCCCAGATATGTCTCGAAGCACTTGATTTATTGGTACTTGTTTGTACTTACATTGTACGCACCTCTGTAATAGATGTTAGTCACCTCGGTTGAGTTTGTACGTAAGTAATAAGCACCCTTGACTAAGGTTAAACCTATGTGTAGTTCAAGTGAAATGTGGATTTGAGCATGGGGCAAGCACAGGGAACATGGTCTTAAGTGTTCTCACGTCATGGGTCATTTTAAGGATTTTTGCTCTACAACTAGAAGCTGCAATTTCGGGGATAAATTTTTATGGGTACCGTACATTGTTTCACCAACACAGTAACTGCATAAAAAATTTGTTTTTTCCTCCCATCACTTGCTATTAGTATGTGCATGAAATAAAAAGGAACTAATGCCCCAAACTAGCTCTGGCATTTGAAATGTTGGTACCAGAAACAGAAATGTGAACTCATAGTATTTATATTTAAAGAAATAAAAGTTTGAAGAAATATCAATTATTTTTTTTTTTCATTGTCATAGAAAAAAAATGAGAGTTTTTATAATTTATTTTCTAAAGCTGTGTTGGGGTGTATTTTCCGTTAAGCATTTGAATTTTGGCTGCATTAATAATTTTTATTTTAAAATTACCAATTTTTGTTTGCACATATCAATTGTTTACTTTTAATTAGAAAAATTGAATGTTTTTTATGCCTGTTATGAAATGTTTAGTACCGTAACTATACAATTTTGTTTAGCTGTTGCATTGTCTTTAACTCTTTGGGGGTAAGAATGTGGCTTATAGAGTTATCAATTATTGTTAGTCCCAAAATTGTTTTTTCATTTCTAAAAAGTTATAATTATCTCATGTTATTGTAAGTATTTTTACAAAACTTATTTCCCTTTTTGCATTGTTTTGGATACATTTATTATGTTCAACAAAATGGACAAAGACTGTCCTGATTAAACATCGTCTCTCTGTATAACGTATCCATGTGTATTATTTGGCCCTGACGGTTCTGTTTGGTTCAAGACAAAGGAGCATACATGTCCACATAAGGCATTTATTCTTTTTAAAAACTAGATTACAGAAAGAATTTATTTATTTATCTCCATTTCCTACCTAGATATTTTGCAAGTGACAACTGATCATTAAATGACAGGGCCCATGGTTAGTCAATTGAGGGTCCCAGGTCTCATTTGTTTGTCAGTTATTACGATAAGATGGTTGAATGCAGGTCACATTTATCTAACTGCCCTGTCCTTTCTCTTTTGCAGCAGATCAGTGTCCTTACATAAGACCCCACTCTTAAGATACCTACTTTGGAAAATTTTGATAGTCTGCACTATAGACTATAGTATTACTGCATGAAGAAAAATGCTTTCTTAAAAGAAAACACAGACTCAAGCAGAGCTGAGGTGTTGATCTCCAATCTACTTTTGGAGACACTCCTTTGACTAGAAAATATACAAACACATTTTCATTTATCTCCATAGAGTGGCACATCTTTGACGAGCAAATGCACAAACACATTCATCTCTACAAGTAGCACATCTTTGACTAGCAAATATTCATACAAACACATCTCCATGAGTAGCAC